CCAACTCCTGGACTCAAGCGAGTCTCCTGCCACAACTCCCAGCTAGTTTTGGTTACAGCCATCATTGTTGCATGGTGGACCCTGGCTGGATTCGAACCTGCCAGCTCAGGCATACATGGCTGGCGCCTTAGCCCCGTGAGCCACAGGCACCGAGCCTAGAGCACTTTCAAAGAGAGTTGGAAGTGAGTCCCTGTCATGAAAAAGAAAAGATGAGAGAGACAGAGGCAAAGGCCTGCAGTAATACACATACTCTCTTACTTTGGCCTCTCTGTGCCTCTAAGCAGTAAGTCCTTTTCTCAGGGTAACAAAGAGAGATTTTATTTAGGAAGAATAAGACAAAGTTAAGAGCATTTCAAAGGAGAGTTATAAGTGGGTCCTTCTTATGGAGAAGAAAAGGTGAGAGAGACCAATATTTTGTAAATATATCTTGGTGTCTGATGCCTCTTCAATCGCTAGACTTTGACCAAGCTTGGCTTCACAGAATTCAACTGGTTAAGCCTTTCTCAGTGAATATTTATTACAACTTTCTTGAAAATGACTATTCCTGGGTAGTTCCTGTGGCTCAGTGGGTAGGGTGCCATCCCCATATACCGAGCGTGGCGGGTTCAAACCTGGCGCTGGGCAAACTGCAACAAAAATTAGCTGGGCGTTGTGGAGGGTGCCTATAGTCCCAGCTACTTGGGAGGCTGAGGCGAGAATTGCCTAAGCCTAGGAGCAGAGGTTGTGGTAAACAGTATGACACCATGGCACTCTACCGAGGGCGATAAAGTGAGACTCTGTCTCTACAAAAAAAAAAAAAGAAAATGACTATTCCCACAAATAGTTTACTTCGACATACACTAACACTTAATCTCAAACTCCTGGGCTCAAGTGATCATTTACCTCAGCCCCCTGAGGATATGGGACATTTTTTTGGCAAGTGATATGAAATGGCCTCCCTAGTTTTATCAGTACGCAAAAGTTTCAAAATACCAATACCACTATCGCACTCAACAACATTGACAACAATTTTTGCTCAAGTTTCCCTGATTATCTGATTGATGTTTCTTAATCTCTAGGTTTCTCTTTCAATTTATTTGTTGAAGAAGTTGGAGTTATTTGTTATAAATTTTGAGAGCTGGTGTTTTCTGATTATATCCTCACAGTTTCACTTAATATGTTCCTCTGTCCAAAGCTTCCTTTCAAAATATATATTTAAATAAAAGTTTGGTTAAGTATTAGTACAGGTAGTATGTGGTTTTGACAAAATTGTGAAGGTAGTGGGTATCAGTTTGGGAAACACTGTTTCTAACAGTCTTATGTGCCAGAGTATGGTCCTCTAAATCTAATATGAATGCTTTCTCTTCATTCAAAATCTTCAAATCCTGTGTGGAAATGAAGACGGACTGGTAAAGTAAGCAACTTCTCCCTCTGCCAACGTCTGAATACAGAGATTTGGGTATTCCTTCAGTATGTGGACTTCTCAGTTCTCCTTAAGACCTATACCAAGACTGCTTACCACTTTCCTGTTTATTTTTTTTTATTTTTTTATTTTTTTTGAGACAGAGCCTCAAGCTGTCCCCCTGGGTAGAGTGCCATGGCATCACGCTCACAGCAACCTCCAACTCCTGGGCTCCAGCGAGTCTCCTGCCTCCGCCTCCCAAGTAGCTGGGACCACAGGCGCCCGCCACAGCGCCTGGCTATTTTTTTTTGGTTGCAGCCGTCATTGTTGTTTGGCGGGTCCGGGCTGGGGATTCGAACCCGCCACCTTAGGTGTATATGGCTGGCGCCTTAGCCGCTTGAGCCACAGGCGCTGAGCCACTTTCCTGTTTATTAACCTCTCTATGAGGAGCTGGGCTTCAAAATAAAAACTGAAATGTAAGCCTGATCACTGTGCTCTCTCACAACAGTGCTAATAAAAGGGTAAGTGCAATCAATTTCTAAAATGCATTTTTAAATATCAGTTTTATTTTTTCCTCATTGGTACAGAAGATAGCTTACTATAACATTCACTCTTTGAAATTAGAAAAAAAAAGAAAAAAGAAAATCAGAAAGCAAAACCACCCCAAAGCAAATTTAAACATGCAACCATTGACAAGATTTTGTCAACAAACCTAGGCTTAGCAATTTAAGAAGCTTGGATGAGGAATAACATATTCTACTTTTATTAGTTCTGTCACCGGACTGAGAGATTATTTAGTAGGAAAACTTTTTTTTTTTTTTGCAGTTTTTGGCTGGGGCTGGGCCCAAACCCGCCACCTCCGGCATATGGGGCCGGTGCCCCACTCCTTTGAGCCACAGATACTGCCCTTTTTTATTTTTGAGACAGAGTCTCACTATGTCACCCTTGGTAGAGTGCTGTGGCGTCTAAGCTCACAGCAACTTCCAACTCTTGGGCTTCAGTAATTCTCTTGCCTCAGCCTCCCAAGTAGCTAGGGATATAGGCGACCACCACAACATCTGGCTATTTTTCTTGTTGCAGTTGTCATTGTTGTTTCACTGGCCCGGACCAGATTTGAACCCACCAGCTTCACTGCATGTGGCTGGTGCCATAACCACTGTGCTATGGGCGCTGAGCCAGAAAAACTTTTTATTGTAAGGCGATAGTTGTATTACTTAAAGGCATAAGAAAGGAACAAAGAGGCTCGGCGCC